TCAATCGATCTCACCAAGGGATCTGATGGAAGACAGTATCAGCACACACAGGGTCATGATACAAAGGACACGACAAAACAGACTGTAACAGCATCAAGGCGTATTACCTTAACGTCCCCAGCAAGCTGAGAGGCTACGTATAGAAATAAAATATATATACACGCACACACTAGTTCACAAGCCTGGAGACTCAACAGGCTGGCTATCAGCTTAGCAGGCAACGTAGTAGTGAAGTCAATTTTTTGACTGATACTAAGTAGGATTCCAGCAGAAAACACGTTCTTTCGGTAGCATCTCCATCCCAAAGTGAACCAACTCCCTCATTCAAGCAATATATTTTTAGCAAGAGCTTTTCTGATCTTCTGTAAACATTTTTCTTTTTTAAAAAACATTTGTCAGTATTTATAAAAGCTTACATTCACTCTAGACTCACATAGCCTAATCTGGCAGCTCTGAATTTTGGCTGTTCATTTTCTGTCTCTTCACCACCAATGCCAGTGTCCCCTGGCACGGCTCTTCGAGCAGCGGTGGCTGTCCCTGCCCTGCCCCCTCCCCTCCCTCGCCCCCCCCAGCCGCCTCCCCACTCTCCCCTCCCACGCAGCCACTCTCCTGCACGCTCCTGCATGCACACAGGGCTGCCGTCAGCAAATACTTGCTGGAGCCGGGAACAAAAAATACTTGTTGCTGATGCAAAGATGACTGTCAGTTGTATGGCTGCGCTTTCATCAGCTTTTGCTCTCAAAGCCAAATACGGTAACAGAGAGGTATAAAGGCCCTTCTTCCCGCATGCCAAAACGGCAGGATTTTAAATAAATACTAGAAAAAGGAACTAAATATGAAGACGTTAACCATGACTACTGTCACTATCTGTAGATGGAAAACACATTCAAATAAAATCCAAAGCCTACAAATTAAAACATTGTGCATATTCAGTTATGTAAAGTAAGTTAAAACAAGTGTGGTACTACACCACGCAAGACACGTCTTTGACAGTGACATACAAGACTTTAAATAGAACTATTTTTTTTCTCCTGCTCTATGAGACAGAAGACTGATAATTTAAAGATAAACCACATCTCCTTACTACACATATTTCCCTTCCCTTCAGCTAGCTCTTTATGACAAGAAGAAAAATAAAAGCAGGAAGTAATTATGGAATCTGTTTGACAGATCTTTGTTTGCCAATTTCCTTCAGTGTTGAAGCACAAGACTTAACTCTGTTCTCTGTAAAAGGCTGTTTATACCTTATTCTGTTTTCTCCTTATCTTCATGGTGTTTAGATTCTGTGATAGCCAGTTTAAATATGCTGCTCACCACCCAGTTAAAAGCTCAGAAAGTTATAACACTTCATAATTTTTCCTAAAGAAGGCTTTGTTTTTTTTAACTGAATAACACATGAGAATATCTTTCTATGTCTATCTGAAAATATTATTATTCCTAGGTAACAAGGCTCACAAATCCTTTACGCAGAACGTCAATGAGCTTTATGCTTTAACACAAAAGTTTGAAGTTGGGAAAATCATATCCCATTTGCCAAGACAGACAAGTAAATTAGGTATAATTTTACCAGTCTCCTTGAGTCAGGCCTGGAAGCTTGCAATTGTTCAAATTCTTCTATTTTTGCTTGATCTACATCTTCTTTCAGCTCCCACGTACTGTCTTCATATGGCAACGAACACCATTTTACTAAATAGTAAATAACAGGCTGCAGAAGAAAATTCTGAATGTTATCAGCTTTTAATTTAGTATACAGACTGTCAGTATGCCTTACTATTCCAGCAGCTAACTTACACGAAAGCTGGAAACAAAACCACATTTCTGATACACTTTTAAAGATCATCTGTGTAGGTACTTGTTACCTACCTCCTCATCCTCAGCTTCTCACACTACTACTTGTAGACCCCTGGAGTACTTTCCAAACCCAAAAGTAAGTCTTATGAAAGTTAAATTACTACATGCTTGATGTTTGTAGAAATGGGGTGGGGGGAACCAATTAATTAGAGGTGCTACCCACAACATTTCCTCCACTCTCCAAATCAGATTACCTAAGCCTAAAACAAAGAGCGTGAGGGAGTTCCTAAAATCCAGGTCTTCTCAACAGAATAGCAAGCTTTAGAGCTGGACGACATATATAAAAATGTAGGAAAAGTCTCGAAAGATAGAACCAAAGCAGATTATTCCATTTAGATTTATTTTGATAAAAAAGTAATTTTTCAAGAAATTGGGAGAAAAGCTTATGACAACACCACATTTTTTGTAAAAGTGTAATAATGACAACTCTGCTGCATACAATGAAAAGTAATTTTAACCCTCAGCCCTGCTTTTGGAAGATTAATGCAGAAATCACTGGGTAACAGTCTGCTCTTTTTGCTATCTAGAACAGAATCAGTATCATAGCTATTCCGATAGCCTTTATCAATAACTTTGCCAGTCTTTGTTCTCATCTCACACGTTTGTTCTGTAGTAGCTTTCCAGAACACATACTTTAAGTTAAAAAAGTTTTGATAAATACAGAGGCAAAGGTCCACTGGTGGCTATCAAAACATCTCTCAATCACTGCTTGCCTAAAGCCTAGGGCCAGAGTTAGATGGGAAAAGGGAACCACCACTGCCCTGCCTTCTTGAGCTCTTTTCAGCAGTGACCCCTTGTCACGATCAGAGACAAGACAGCACATGGGATCAGCGTTTTGTCAGAATGTGCAAGGCAATTGTCAAATCTCACATTTATGTCAGTAACTACCTAAGCTTTGTCTACAATGAACTATTAATACTAATAAAAATATAAGCCACTGCACTCTGATCTTTATTTCAAAATACATGGCTAGCATAGGAAATGACAAGCTTATCATGTCTCATAAAACAATATTATCAAAGCTTATAAACATTAGGGTGTTACTCTGAAATTTGCTAAAGTCACGATTATCAAACACTACATGGAGGTATGTCTTCTTGACTTGCTTTAATGTATATTTACCTCACCAGTGTCCTTATCTTCACAAAGAGATACTTCTAATACCCGGTCTACTTCAACATAGTCAGGATTAAAAGGTTCTTCTTCCATCTGCAATGCAAGATTAATAAAATCAGTAGAGGGGCAAAAAAAGCTGATATATGCTAAGACTTGATCTAGTTGTACAGAAAATGAATCTGGCAGTTGGAAACTATTGAGGCTTTTGCACACACCCTAAAATTCTCCCCCCCCTTCTTTTGGTTGGCAGCTGGCCCTAATGAGGGATCTGACACACGAACAGAAAATGCAGTCATTTACGGATGAAGTGCTGTCTTGAAAAAGTCATATAAGTAGAGAAACTATCCATACTAACATAATCTTTGCCTCCTTACCACTTTTAAGCAGTTATCCCAACAATGCCAATTTTAAACTATGCAAGTTAGATTAGTTCAGCGACTCCACAAGACATGCTTTTAAAATTACGTTAAACAAACAATTCCCTGCTGCAACCAAAAATTCAACCCTGATGGCTGTTCTACCTCTCAACATTCAGCTGTTCTATTTAAAAACAAACTATTAATCATAATTTTATGAGGAAAAATAGCTTATTTAATTGTGGATTTCATACTCACATCTGCAAAAAAGTGAGCTCTTTGTGCTTGCCTTAGTTTGAATCGTTTTATTTTCTGCTGGATTCTTTTATCCTTTAAAAGCTGTTGTTCTGTGGCCCACTCACAGTGGAGATAAGAGCTAAAATTACAGAGATTAACATTAACCTATTAGTGAAAGCAAAAGCTTACTATCTATTTTTAAAATACAGTTAAAATAATACATTTTATAAATTAGAGTTTCACTCAAAAAATAACATTTTATCATTTAAGATAGAATTCACTGTAAAGATCAAAGATCTATTCCTCCAAATATATTACACATCTAGTTAAGGCAATGTTTTTGGGCTAGGGTCCCTAGAACTCTATTGATTCACAAATTCCTTTCCCCTGTCCTAAGAAACAAGTGTATTTAAAATGAGTTCAAATAAATCAACTTTAAAATCTGACACCTCTATCAGAAAGTACCCACAGATATAAAGCACTTCATATGATGGAGCTAATCTTTTCACATAGTTCATGTGAACATCCCTCCACAGGTACTGCAGAACTATCTAGCTGAGCCCATCATCTAAAAGATCAGTGAGGAGCACCAGAGCCCACGTCAAAGAGGCACATGCCATCAGACCGGGCTGGGAGAGAAGCACGAAGGAGCAGAGTCAGAGGAAGGAGGAAGCGTGAGCACTGGTACGCACACCATCTAACTGCATCCCAGGGGAACCTTGCAGAAGTTAGATTGGTTTGATAGAAGTACACACCTTTCTTCCTCACACCTCCTTTTTAATATATTTTCATCACTTTTTAAGCTTTCTAAAGCTATGTAAGAAATAAAGACGACCTATTGCTGGGTAATACAGCTTCTCAGATGAAAAGACAAGACTTTGCCCTTTCAGGAAATAAGAGCTAAATGGTCTCCAGAAACATGTGAATCCAGAGTCTCAAAAAATTACATTTATTAGCAAGAATCTAATGAAATTACTCACATATGTAAAATTTAAAATGTGCTTGCCTTTTCAACACTAAGAACTGTGTAGCAACAGAAAGACAGGTGTGAAATTTGAAATAGAAAAATATGGAAGAAGTTCTCTTTCTTCTTCATTCCTTTTTCCTGCTTCTGATACAAAGTCATGTCTACCGTTACAAGTTTTTTTTTCTTTCTAAAACAGTAAGACTGACTCCTACATCAATCTCTCCTGAATGCATGACACCATAAATGTAATCTAGGTTCACAAAATAGTTGTGATTTAAATCCATGAAATTAAAATTAGCCTCAGGGATGTAGCCCCTGCTGAATTTAATAACTGTATCTTCTCAAAAAAATCTGCTTTTTTGGCAATAACAGCTGTCAGTTTATTGATCAGTGCTGGTTTCACAATAGTGATAATTTTTAAATTATTACTAACAATATAACACAGGTTCTTAGCCATTTTAAGACTAAATTTGTAAAGAAAAATCTCAGAAGGTGACAAAATCTGGTTAATAAGTAATCTTCAAACAATACAAAGCTTTAGCACATGAATATGGTACTTAGCATTTCAGTCAACAACCTCCAATGAAACAACTTTTTAATACTTACTAGTTCTTGTATTTTACAAAAAACTCTTCCGTTTCTACTGTCATCCCAGCAGATATCTAGGAAAGGAAATTCAAGGGAAATGTAAAATGATGGATACAAAACCCTTTTTCAAATAAGCAACTTTATGCCATAACAATCACTTACTTCTTTCTTTACTATCCTGGAGGATAAGATTTTGTCAACAATTGCCGCATCTTCTTCACTCGGATTTTCCTATAAATGCAGGAAAACAATGACATTACAAATTGCAGTAAATGCCCTCTCTTCAAACTGATCAGGCTTCAAATCTTCCAACAGAAGTGGTTGTTAAAAGATCAACCACAAATGCAAATATGACCTCCACCAGTAGCAGTCTCTCTAGCACCCTGGGTGTAAAATTTAAAATCCAGGTTTATATCCAGAGCAAAATACATGCAGAAGTACAGTAAGTCTGGCATTTCCCAAGAGCATCAGATGCAACGCTCACCTGCCAAGCACACTTATAGTGCAAGCAATGGTGATTCTGACGCTTTCCAGACACAGACTCACTGTGAATGCTCTGCTGAGCTGATGCGGTGGACACACCCAGAATTTCATTATACAGATATGGAGACACAAGGCCTCTGGCAGACAGGTTAAAAAAAAGATAATAGAACAAAAACAACGCAGCATATGTCAAGCTCAATTTAATAGATTTGCTCTGAACACAGATTAACAAACCTGCTGTGGAATCAGGCAGACAAGGTCGTGCCCGGGAATCCCAGCAGGGCTTAGGTGTGACACAGATACCAGATTGCTTAGCTCTGCCACGACTGAACCTGCTGTTCTAGAGATAAAGAGTCACTCTTTAAAGGTTGCTTCCAATAAAAAGCCATCGTCCTTCTTGTCTGATTTGTTCCCAATGATACTATCCTCCTCCCTCCCTTACAACTTTGTCACCCTGTCAAACATCTCACAGTTTTTTCCCTTGTTTCTTTCCTGTCACTTTATTTACTTAGAATGGCTCAATAGTAAGCTTGAGTACCAGAGCTGGCACAAGTTAAATGGTGATGTGTAAACCTGAAGAGGGGAAAAAAAAGTGAGGAGTATCTTTTTTAAAAATCTCGGTAAGCAGAGATCTCCACAGGTTCAAATAATTTTGTACTTCTGAAAGTCCTGATAATATTAGCATACAGCTTTTTCATATGCGTGCACAGTGTAACATGGTACTTGAGATATACCTATCCTTAGTCTTATCCTTATCTTTAACTTCTCTTAAGTCAAGGAAAGCTTGTAACAGACAAGAAAAAAAATGGTAACAAACCATTTCTTCAAGTTTTCAAGATCTTAGCAAGATGTCACATTAAATAAACTACAGCTTAGTAATAATAATGTATTCCTTTCAAGTTATGAGCTTTATTCAATGAACTCCTTGAGACAACTCGAAAGTTCCCACTGCAGAACAAGAAAAAAAAATTAGCTTCTTCTTCTGATTGTTTTCCCTCTCCTTCTTCAGCATATTTTTTCCTTTTAACTTGACGATTTGATCTTCTCTTCTGTGTGAATGAGAATACAAACAGAGGTTTTACAAAAAACTTCCTCTAATGTGAATGTGAAGTTTTGGGACACTCTAAGCAATACTTCAGCTGTATCAAAAAACAAAGGTCAACATTTGACAGAAAACATGAAGCATGTGAATCACAGAGGGACAGAGGTAGCCATACACTATTTTCAATTAAATAAATTACTTTTTTTTCTCCTGTGTCATATAAACATTTCATGTTTTTATTTAAGGGTTCAAAAGCACACATGGAAGAACGTTTTCAGGGTATGGGAATAAAGCTGATATATAATAGATCTCTCATAAGCATCCGTATTTCAGCAGCAATTTCACCATGTAGTACAACAGAGGTGTGTTACCGTCCAATTCAAGAATCTGAGTGAAAGACAGACCACATGCCGAAGTGTCTCTATTAAACAGTGTTATACAACAACAAAAAGATTACCATTAGATCATATTGGTTAGATTGCTGATAAAGGCCAATTTGATGGCTAATAAAAGTTTGTTGCTTTGTTAATGTATTTGTTTCCTCCTCCACCTTAATAAAGCTTGTTTAACAGCAGCCTTTTGCTTACTATCTCTCTAATCTTCCACTCATTTCTGCAAGAATCTAAGGACAACAAGCTCCAGTTGGAGAAATAATGCTCAGCCTAAGAAAATAATTAGTTCTTACTCACTGTTTAAGTTTCAAATACTTGGAATATTAGGATATTGCGTACCCTTTCCACCCCTCAGTACCAAAATATGAGACACTGCATATTTAACTGTAAGATTAATTTGTAAATCCATTGGATAAATAATGACAGCAGAATCGAGAATCAAACTAAGCAGCTAACATTTGATAACACTGCAATCTGCCTTAGACAACTGATCATCACACAAATAAAATCAGCAAAGTAAAACACTCTCTATAACATAAATTAAGCTGAGCTATACAGTAGAGCGTTATTTTTGTTTGGGAAAAGCCACTGCTGGTTGCAACACATAGCAGTAATCAGATGGGAGAAGAACAAGTTGTGAACAGAACAAAACCCAAAATCCTGTGGTCATACTGGCTTCTGCAGAACAGATACTAAGTAACAGTAAGATTGCAGCACAGGAACTTTCTTTTGACAGTTAAATTCAACCCTTGGTCTAGCTGGTGTCTGGTAAAAGACCTAGCTATACTTTAACAACTACACTGTAAGTATTTTAGTAAGGCAGAGTAGTAACACTACATATACAGTGTTGTTAAAAAAAAATTTAAAAAAAAAATAAAAAAAAAAATCAAAGAATAGGCATCACCATTCTTCTAGAGAAGCTGGGACAGTGCATGTATGAAGCTACCCAACCAGCTTTACACAATAATGCAGCCAGATTGATTAGCTATTCTTCAAGAAAAAGCGAGTGTGTGTGGGGTGCAGTTTCAGCACAAAAAGAAACTTCAGATTTAAGCAGACACATTGATGTGACAAAGTGTCACATTATAGTTAAATCAACAATGTTTGCTGACACAAGTAGAATAAAAAAAAAAAAAAAGCCAGCTAACAGGACCAATGCAAAATGATGAATTAGGAAAAGAAGGATTAAGAACCAGGTTCAAGTTTTACTCATTAAGTATTTGTTGAATTTTTCAAAACCTAATGAGACATTAACTGGCATTTTTAATCACTCTCACTACATCTTTTCTTAAACTATGAAGTAATGAACCAAATAGCCACAGACATATGTTCTCCAAAATTTTAAACTGAGCTGCTTGCAGAAAACCTTTTTATTTCCCTGAACTGAGAAGCATGGTCATGAACAAATGTTCTAAGGCACAAAATAAAGTAGTACCACACATTTTTCCAAGAAATAAATCAATGCATTTGAGGAGGACGCTTACTGTGAAACTAAGCATACAAAATTAATTAGGAAAAAAAAAAGACCTAAAATTGCCCCCCAGAGCTTAGAAATAGACAGTTATTTGCATCAGGAAAAGAAAGTAACGAAACATAGAATGAATTAATGAAGTAAAGCAACTTATGTCTTCCCTGCTATGCTTCCCCCAAAACCCTTCAAAGATAGACGGGACAGTGCTGTGATGTTCTGCAGTAGGTTTTTCCTCTATCCCATGCCACCCATTTTTATCTCTACCCTCTGTTCCCTTCATTCCAGGATCTTGAGATTTGATGATACCTCCTGTCTATTCACGTTAGAATTGAGTATGACCCTCATCCTGCTAAAAATCAAATATCCAAAAAAACCCACCAAAAACATGAGAAAAAAGAAATGCTCTTAGGTCTTTTGACTATCTGACTACAGATAATTACAGTACTTCAGAACCACCAAATCTGCTTTCACCTCCTTCAGTTTACTAAATGTACATTCTATACCAAGACAACTTCCCTGCGAAACAAGTAATTTCACCTTCTCTTCCAGGTAACCTTTACCTAAGACTAGCTATCACTTAAGTTAATAAAAAGTCATTCCGAGAAATGGCTTCTGATCCCTTTTTACCCCCAGCATTATTATCTGTGAAATACTAAAGGTCAACTCAGTATTTCCTAATTGTTTTCTGACACTGTCATCAAATAATGCAATTAACTTTTCCTCAAAGACACCTTCTTTTGAATATTTACTTCACCTCTGTGGACAAAACTGCCACAGGTCAAAAACCTGTGCATTTACAGCATATAAGCTTACTTTTAATAAAGTTTGCCCTAAAGCAAGAAAGTTACAATTCTGTTACTAACATACACATACATAGGATATAATCTCTTACAAACAGTTTATACTTCTTTGTGCATACGTTTCGTAAATAATTATTTAAGCCACTATTATACCACAATAATCTACGAAAAAAATGCAGAAAGCAATTTACAAGGGAGATATTCCTCAAGGGAATGACTCCACCACATAAATTCTTGATCTGGCACTTCTTTCAGAAGTATTTCACAAGCAATTAGAGCCTACCAGCATATTGACCATTGCCCCCTTCAGATCCAACACTGCAAGAAACCAGTTCTTTCATTTTCTACAGAAGCAGAGCTCAGAAAAAACAGTGAAGTCTGAAACAAGCCTTTTACATGTTCTCAAAGAGCTAGTTTCACTGATAACTGTCCCTTCTACTAGGCAATCGCTGCATTTTCCCCACAAATCTGCGACAGTAGGGACCGGGTCTAACGGAGCTCAACAGATGAGTACTTACAGTCTCAAACCTACGGACTTCGGTACTGAAATGAAACAGCTACGAGCAGGGCACCGATGTCCCATTACAGAAAAGGGACTCTAACGTATAGGAAATTCTGATTTTCAGCTGGGAGAAGTAGCTGATAACGTAAGATTCCACCCACGACAGACAGACAGTAGAGAGAGTAGCTGTCAGTGCATCAGGAGTCATCTAACTTATTGGAGAGAGGGGAACAAAGACCTGTAGAAATAACAAGACATATAAATTTAAACAGGAAAAATTCTGACTACTTACCTGTGAGTCTTCATCCTTCAATGGCCGCTGCGGAGTTTGCTTAGCATCAGAAAACTCATCAGCAGATTCGTTTTTTCTTTTCTGCTTCTTACCCAGTGTGATGATTAGCTTTCTGTTCAGGAAAAAAATCCAACATTGAAGTGAATGCCATATGGTAGTTTACTTAACTTCAAGATTAAAAATGACACCACATTCACTAGAAATTCCTGTATTCTTCCCAGTATAAAACTCCAGAAGCACTACTGTCTGAAAAACGAAAAGTATGTCTCAAAACAAAAAGCTACAGCTTTACACTAAGACAGTATTTTCTGCTACAGTTACAGAGTTTCTGTACAGGCAAGCAGCTACTTTACTATCACAAACTCATAACAGAGATGCAAAATCCAACATATAAACCAAGTGACAATGGTAAACTACAGAAAGTTATCATAAATACATCTGCAGACAACTACAGGAAATTATTCATCATAAACAATGCCTCATTGCAAAACATATCTTCTCTTAGTTTTGCTCAAAAAAAGCAGCTACGGACAACAGTCTAAACTCATCCAAAGCTGTCTGACATGCAAAACTTGTATATTTAAATAAGTCAGTCAATGGTAAAAATGAGGAAATTGCGTGAATCCTTTCTGCCCTTTCAAAAAAATAATTAAAAAAATAGAAGCTGTATTCAAAACCCAGTAATTTTATATGTAAGAAATCTTAGAATCTCCCAGAATACATTAAGAACCAACATTGTGCTGAGTAAATTAGTTACATTCTAATGAAAAAGAACGAATTATTTCTCTGTTCAGATTTAAAGGTTACGCTCTAAATCATGATACCAATTCATCTGATTTGTTTTTAACTAAAGGGTGTCAAAACATTTATTTTTTCATATTTGAAATGTGCCAAATACTCCTCTTTAAATATGTTTTCAGTGACATAATTGCAGAATCATGACAAACTATCCAATAAAACCACATACAAAGAGCTGTCCTAACATACGTATTTTGTACGGTATCTTATCATCAAATCTGTGTAACAGAAAAGGAGGTAACTGTTCCATCATACAAGCCTCTTCTGTCATTTTAGACAGAACAAATGAAACACAAGACTTAGTCTTCATACAGAAAATAAAAGTTCTTTTACAACCAAGTAGCATCAAATATATTGGCCACCTGAAAAACCACTGATCAGAAGGTAGTGGTTGGAACACTTGTATCTCATTTGCTTCTCTTTGTAAGTGTCCAATCAAGAGAACTACCACATATTTACTACGTCCAAACTAACAGTCCACACAGAAAGTGAGAACCTTAAATTACCAAAACACTATGCATAGCTTAAGCAACATGGCTTACAAAAGATTATAGGTGTATTTTAAGAAGCAACGAACATTTTTGTTGGTTTTCAATGTTTAACCACTAGGTATGTTCAGTGGAAAGGTTAAAAAAAACCCCACAGACCCACAACCCAACGTTTTCCACTCCCATATTTTTTACTTCTAGTATGAAGTGAATGGCAGTGGCAAATGCATGTTGAAATTTAGCTGCAGTAAGCATAATCACTGATCTGCTTGTTCAGAAGTAAATTCTGGTCCTCAAGTCCTTGCTTTTCATTAGGTGTTCTCAGTTTAATTATTATTTATAAAATATGTTTCATAATCACAGGGAAAAAAATTCAACAACGAACATGCTGGTTTTCCTGCTGTCTTCAAGAGTAGTTCGGGGTTTTTTCCCCTCACTCTTCAATCCCTGATTAGGATTCTTTTTTCTTTTTTTCAAGACTGTTGGATTGTTTCTCAGGTATTTGTCCACTATGACTCTTTCTGGTGATGGACTTGGATAAACCACTTAATCCATTTTCATCTCACCTTGTTTCATACAATTTAAGTGTTACATTAGCACCCGTCAGCTAATATGTCAAATTAGCTAATATATTCCTAAGTGACACAGACAAGGCACACTGTGATTGATCTTCTGAACTTGTTGTTAAAAGGAATTGTGGATGCCAAAATTTAATATGGATTTAAAGGGAAACCTGATAAACTTAGGCCAGTAAATTCATGAAATGGTACCTATCCCGCAAAGTTCCTGGTTTGCATCTTGGGAGTTTGGGAAAATATTGAGAAGTATCACGTGTGTTTTCCCTGCTCTTAACTTCTTCCCACTGAGTCTGCTTCTGGCCATTGCTGGAGAGAGGATACTAGGCTAGATGAAACTCTGGTCTCACCTGGGTATGCATTCTTCTAAACACTGTCCATATGTTAGTACGTGTAACAAGCCGTGCTGATCTTTCCCTGTCCCTTGATGATCTTTTCATCGAAATCACTGGACATAGCACATATTCAATCCAGTGAATTCACATGACGTAATCTGTAAATTATTATTCTTTCACTAATAAATAAGATCTCAAGTCTTTGCTTTGATTTGGAGCACATGCATTAAAGGCCTGATGCACGTATGGCATGTAGAGACAACTGTGATTGCATGCCAAGCGTGATACACATTTTGATTTTTAAATGCGTAACAAGACCACCACCAACAAAGAACAGGAATAATGAAATGTTCTTTTATCAAATAAGTGTTGAGATATAGAAGATACAAGGGGTTTCTGGAGGACATCTTGTCCCTGCTGAAAGCCAACTTCAGAGCTCTATATGTTGCTCAGACCAGGCAAGTTCTGCTTATCTCCTAGACTGACACCTCCCTGGGCAACTTATTCCAAATTTTGATCCTCTTTTGTGAAATGGTAGGTTCAAATGCTTCATAATACATGTTGCTTTTTTAAGCATTTGTATCCGTGCAACAGCAGTTGATCCTCATTTCACGCACTACTGCCTAATATCTTCGTCTCAGGTTCCTTCTGGATTCACGAAGCACAGTATTAATAAAGGCCATGACTATTTTACCATGGGTTGTAGTGGTATCCATTGAATAGCTGAGGATTTTAAGGACCTTTGTTTTAGAACACGGCCTTATTTTGTGCTTAGACTGCTCTAGCTCCATCTTTCCTTGCACATTTTTTCCTCTCCTCTGTAGCTGTAGTCCTCCCTTGTGTTCACCTCTTGCTCTGCCCCTGCAGTCTTACGCATAATATTCCACTTCTTTGTCTGCTTCTGTGTCTTCTCTTGATCGGGTATTCCCTACCCCCAGTACTTCTTCACAAGTGTCTCCCTGAAATTTTCTTAACATCTTCTCTATGTGTTGCAGGTGAGAACGTTCCCTCCTTTCTAAGGATATGGTGCCAACGAGAGGAATAAACGCACAGCCTCACTTCTTTCTGCCCAGAACTACAATGCTCCCTGCTATCAAAAGTTGCTAACGACAGTATGGTGCTAAAGTCACGCATTTCTATTAGTCAAAATGCAATCTGCTCATATTTTGGCCAAAAACTTCTAAAAAATCTGCTATGTGAAAACAATGATTTTCAGAAGCTTGTAAACTGTATCACTTCTGTGAACATTTTTCATTGAGAGCAAGATCTCTTGCCAGTTTATAAATTTCTGCATGAAAGCATAAAGATTCTTGGCTAAAATCCCTTTTTCCACCCCGAAACAAACTGTTCTGAACAGAAACTATCTATTCTGTTTCTGTGAAAAGGAAACAGCACACTGTAGACACTGAATAAATAATATCACTAGACTCCATTCCAATTTTACTTTCTCTCACCTTTTTAAAACGGAAATGTATCTTTTTACATCACATCTAGAAACACTGTAACAACTAGACAACATACATTTCCTCAACATGTATCTCCTCCTTCTACAGTTACAAACTCAAAATGTTGAGAAACATACACCAATGGAAAGGTTTCAAAAGAAGTCATCTCATGAGCCATTATTACCTCTGGTCCTTAGCACAAGACTCTTCACACGGTTTAGATCCACAAAACTGAAAGGCTGAAAGTATCAGCAAGACCACCAGGAACCACTATTTGAGGAGCATTGCAACTTCTTTCTTATAAATTAAGAACCGGTAAGAATCTGCTCCATTCCCCTTCTGTTCAATGGCAGAGAACATGACAAAGAGTTGTCGGCACTCTGAACAGCTTTAGAATTATAAAGAACAGATTTCAAAGCCTTCCAAACAGCGAACATAAGGAGGTATTAGAGAGCAAAGAAAAGCAAACCAGCAAATATGTGTTAGGCATGTAAGAAATTATAAGTATTGTCGGCCTTAAATGCACGCCTTCAATACACCATTTTACCTCGTTTTTCCCAAAATAGAGGAACACCAAGTAACTAATTATTAGTGTCCAAAGCAACCTCCCAAATAGTTTAATTTGTAGTCAAATCACTTTGTTATATTACTAGGAATAAAACTCCTATGTTATCAACAGTATCAGTATTTCTTTATCACTAAAGACCTAGCTAAAAATCTTACCTATTAGCAAAATACAAAGCAGGTATTTCCTTGACAAGATAACGTATCCTCTTGGAGTGAGAGTTGTATTGGTCGTATAGAAATGGTTGCTCTTATCCTTCTACCGTATGTTTAATAAATAATACTATCACACTAGTATTGGCCACTGTCTCCCTCTCTAGTTGTATTTAAAATTAGTAACTTTTGGATTGTACACAGATTTTTAAAACACTCCTATAGTCTTATTGGAACCAACAGCCATTTCAAGCTCATACTACATAGGAATAATAATGCAAGTGAACAAATAAGTGATTAGTTATTTATTCGATAAGACCACACTACTTTGCATTCATGTATTTTGCAGTAGAAACTTAAGATTATGTCACTTAGAACCAACTTACGCATCAAAACCAGACTCTGGCAGCAGAGAAAACTTCACCAAGGAGTCAGAGCTCAGTGCATGCAAAGACATCCCAGCAGGACGATCAAATTTGGAATTTGAGAAAGAGTTTACCATCTAACAGAACAAAAAGATTCCGTGACATCTCTTCCCTTTGAGCATACACCTACTAGCCAAAATTTGCCTGACTTACACGAAACACAAACTCACAATGTCTGCCTGCTAGGAAATTCACTTTAAGTTCTTGCATTTAAACTTCAATGATATACGATCAGCAGAACAGGCAAATCCACCCTGCTCCCCTGTTGCTAATGGAGTTTACAAAAGTTCAGAACTATCTCAGCAGTATCAGATCAACAAGGAATCATAGAAAGACTTTCTATCAGGGTCTTGGGTCCGAAAAATGCTCTACATTGTAAACACTCCTTCAAGGCAACAAGGACATTTACTCATTCGAGTAATGAACAGGATCACACAGGAACTTCGAATTCATTAGCACATCATTTAAGGGTTAATAAAAGAATAAATCCACCATTGTTTCTTTAGCACACAAAAAAATACAGCCGTTTCTGATAAGAGGAAACAGCTTTGACCTTAAGGTCAACCACCCTGAATCAAACTTCTGTAAATCAAATTCTTAGGGTTTTGGGGATTTATTTATTTACACTATGCCATGATAAAATCCTAAATGTAGTCTACTTATACTGTTCTTTACATCACCAATGCAGAGCTCCTGCTTTTCATCAGGGCCATGATATTTAATTTTATGTTTGAGTAGGTGGGAATACATTGAGAGCTATAAAACCTAAATGCCAATCTACTTTTCTGAACAACAGAATGTTCACAAATTCATAATTCTTCTCTCCTTCATATCAAGTGGTAAGAAGCAGAAATTTTAGTCTAAATGTGCATCACCTTAAATGGAAGAAGTAGACTTGCAATCAGCGAGAAAAAGCTCATAAATGGAAACACATTCTATGCAAAAATATTAAAGGTTTAAATAGATTTCTAAACATCAATGCACCTTGGTAAACAGCCGGGATATGAAAAGTGGTTCTGCAGTCCTCAAAAAATTGTAATGTAAGTTAATTTTAAAGACTTAACTTGATCACTAATTAACACATAAAGCAAACTGGTTACTTAATTCAGTAACACTAAACATATTATACATGCATTCGGCTACTTCTAATAATCTCTGTCATATGCTTACTATGTTCTTGGTAATAAAAGAATTCAGTCATTTAAATTCACCAATGCTTATAGCACAGAAACTTTACTATCCAGTTCTAGACCATCTGACTAAAATTAACAGGCATTATTCCTTTGACTTCCACAGGTCAGAGGATTAAAAACCTTAATCCCCACCTTCAAAAAGAAACTACAGCCTGCCTGGAAAGCAACTGCTAGTAATTTATAACCAGCAATGATCAATCAGGAAGAATCATGCTGTAATTTTTTCTGTACATGTAGATCTCAGAGGAATCACTAAGGAAAATGTAAACAGTTAACATGAAGTCCCCAAAGACAAACCAATTATGTTTAATTAGCAAGAAAAAAAAAAAGACTGTTTAAAAATCATCCTGTCCCCTAAATCAAGACACAGTAGCTAAAACTCATCTTGATCCTAGATGAGGGCTACTGACTTTCAGTGAAAGCTGTATTGTGTTAAATTCAAAAGCACACTTTTTTTTTTTCCTCTTACTGACGACTCCCAGGCAATTTTACCAAGGTCTGTTCAGCAACTAGTGTTCCGGCTCCAGCTCTGCCAGATCAGCGACACAAAGGGTATCATTTTCATAGCTGGACAACTGTGTAACTGCAAATCCTCCTCAAGAGCAATACAGGATATGCTACACAGACAGGATCCTTGTCAGATCCCAGCAAAGTTTATGATCACAGTCTAAATAAGGGTTTGCTGTTTGAGTGCTAGACTACAGAAGGTACAACTGTGCTCATACTGGATGGGCTATGTTTGACGCCAGCAAAGATGTGAAAGATCAGATTAAAATCATACTCCAAACACTTCTCAAAAGAAAAAAAAACCAAAACAAACAACAACACATTTGTCAGTAGTTTCTGCTCTTTCAGCTCTATACCAGCCTGCATACCCAACAGGAGTCACCTGAAACATGAGTGACTTGAGATCTTCTCAAACACATGTAACTCCACACCACCTCCTGCACCAGTCCGGCTCTCAGAATCTGAACTGAATTGGCATACTGAACAGTTACTGCAAGTTAAATGTGTTTGCTACAGAAAACACTGAATGAAAAGATAGATACTCATGTGGGGCAGACTAAGAATTTAAGATAGGAAGAAATCCTTAGAAGAGTTTTTCAGCCTCCTAAACCCCTTATTAGTTATTGGATTTAATTTTATTCTCCTCTAAATAAAACAGATTTTATTAACCACACAATTATTTTAACCACCTTTGAAAAGACAAGTATATAGCCATTCTATAGTAAATCTTTTTCTTATGTAAGATCAATAGTTACATTTGCATAGAAAACAGAGTCTGGTAAGATTATTCTTAAAAAAAAAAAAATCAAGGTCTTCTTGCTATTACTGCTCTTCAAAACCACTGTAGTCTATTCTTTGCTAAACAGTTAAGATTTTATGTATTTATATAAATAATACAAAATAGTGCTAGCAGAACATAACACACGAAACTGTTTGGATACAAAAATGAAGTATGTGGATAGCTCAAAGCATTTGATTTACTGCTGTCCATCAAAATACACAGAAATTCTGCAGAAAACTAACACATGGCTCTAGCAGACTCTCTTCACCGCTTTTTAACAGGATCAGACTCCTATGTATCCCACATAGTTAAAGCAGTACCTAGCAGCGTGATTAAGTTAACAGAGGACTACTGGGGCATTTGTTGATTAAACTGGTAAATAACGCGGACGCAAACCTTCACAGCTCAATGCAGAAATATGGAAAGTTGATCATACTTAATTAAACAGGAATCTCTCTACATGCTTTTGCATACTTTGGATCAAGCACAAACATCACAGTTAAAAACACAGTTTGAGAAATGTCTATTTCTCAACCGGCACTGTCTCATGAAATCTTGAAAACCGATCTTAACTGTGTGCACAGCTAAGCGTTTCACGAAGACAGAAAACAATGCAGAAGTTTAAGTCGAAAGTAACAGTTTATTTCACTACTCCAATTAAAACTAGTAAAAATATTATGGGAACTATGTAGTATATCACAACGATGATATTTTGGCAGGTTTTGTTAATTATCCAAAAAAATGAACAAAAAGCACACTTGGGGCAATCCACAGAAAGCTTCAGGAAACAGACACCAGCTGAACAACAGTGTGTACGTCTTGTGATTAGACAGACACACAAGATGTCTGTTACAGAAGGTGAGCAAATTCAAAAACATGAAAGCGAAATCAGCTTTGGAAGTACACATCCAAAATCCCACTTCAAACAAGATGCAGAAAAAAGGAAAGGCAAGCACACCATATAGTGCGCTAAGGAGTAGTATGAGCAGCATTCACATGTCAATGCATAACCAGAAGCTAAAGAAACTAAGACTACGAAAGTTTAGGTGAAGAATCACATAGAGTTCAGTGCAGTAACCTTTATACTATAGGGCAACTTCTCAAGGAAGTTGTTTCCTTCGAACATGTAAGAACAGCACTGATCTCTAGGAAAAAAAATAAAATTGCAGAGAAATGAGCTGATTAAAAGAACATTCATTTCTGCTCCATATACATGAGAGTATACATATGTATATGAGACATTTAAATTCAGAGAGATATGCCAGTTAATATTTCCGTTACTGCAAAAAGAGCATGGATTTGAAAAATAAAAATCAGACTGTAGCTAAGATTTCCATTTTAAGTACTGACTGACATACTTAACATTGGAAACTAGACACTGTCCTTTGCAAGTACACAGGAGAACTTGGTTAGCTCGAGTCTGAGGACGTGTCACCTACTGAATCCCTTGGAGCGTTCTGACACCTAACGTCTTTCAAAAGCTCCTTACCCCAAGGCATCCACCCAGCTTGACCCAGCTGAGTCTGCAAAATTTTTAAGAGGGCAGATTGAACTGATATGACTCAAGACTACAAATTGCTTAGAACACAAGTTTTCCACTGCACTTTTACTTTTTACACGAGATATCTGTAAGAATATTCACTTGCTAACAAGTTCATCAAGCTTCCAGTTTCTCCCTACGCAGTTTATCACACACACTGTATTGAAGATACATGGCCAAATTGATAAAGACAGCATTTCTAATATGAGAGAAACTTAAGTTGGAGTCGGAACTGATTACAGCACTAGATGAAAAGATACTCTGGTCTTGTCTACGCTTCAAAGTAAGTACAGAATATTTTAGGATATGAATTTAAAGTAACTCCTTTCAAAAGGACACTCCTACAATGATTTTATCTGAAGAGAAAACAGAGCATTCTTGTTCCTGAATAAGAGTCTCCACACATGGACTTAATCAAGAAGAATTTTGTGTAGGCAGCAGAGGAGAACATTTTATTATCAGTAAGCAGTTTTCACTTCAATCAAGGATTTACAGTCTGAAAAGAAGTATGAAGACATTTTAATCTACTTACCCAATTTTTGTTTTCTCTTTAATTTTGGATGCGGAAGCAGTTTTTGGCTTTTTGCTCTCCTTGTCCTTTGGTTTGGTTTTAACTTTTCTACCCTTCTTTTCCTCTTTTCCTTCAGCTGAAACACTGGGGAAGTTTTCAGGACTCATTACTCGTGGAATGTTTCTCTCTCCTCTCTCTTTTGCTTTTGCAATTGCTTCAGATATTATGCGATTTGCCTTCTCTTGTTTACTTTCTGAGTCTGCTTTTTTCCTCTGCTTCTTTTCAGACATTGCCCTCACCTGGGCATTCTGCAACTTAGTATATGATCCTGAACCATCAGTCCTCTTGGAAGGGGGCTGTAAAATACAAGACAAAGTAAATAAAATAATGTTATTTTAAGAACATACACACTTCTTGAAAGAAAAAGTGCAAATGGTTTTGATCTGGATGTGCATTTAAAAAAAAATTAAAATGGCAGGACTCATGAAGACACAAAAAAGAAGGAATTCTCTTTGTACCACAGAATGGCGTGGGTTTCTGAGTAATTACACTAATTACGAGTTTTAAACAGTCAATCCATACATTGAAAGATCAGTTAAAAAAAAAAAAAGAAAAAACATCTTTCTAAAATTCTGTCAGCCTTGTTTCCACCTGGTTAGTTAGAGACACCAGTCCTTCACCTTTCAAGCATTCCCATACATTTGGCACACACCCCCAACACCTCCAGGAAAGGTTCTTCTCATAAAATCTGAGAAAGCAAAGAACTCCAAGGTAACAGCATCAGTATTTCACCTCTAGTAAGACACCAGCACCACAGCTCCCTTACAGCAGAGGAAAGAGTTATGAGACTAACACGGCGCTGAACAGAACAGACGCTACGAGAAAACCCAGATCAAAAAAAAAGACAAAAGATAAAACCAAAACTAAAATTACACAGCTCTGTACTTGTAAGAAGAGCAGAAAGCAGTATCTCTTTTCCCTAGATGAGCATACGGTCAGCGCCTCAGTCAGAGGACGTCACCTGGTTTTATTTTCGGGGTTTTAACGGCCGTTTCACCGACGCAGAGCTGTTTACAGCAGGAGCGCGACAGTCAGATCATCAGGCTCCCTTCCACCAGGCCAGAAGACATGTTTCTGCCTTCTCCTCCCCCTTCCCCTCCGAGGAATGGGAAGAATTTCCTC